CCGAAGCATCGATGCAGAGGGAAACCAGCTGTCTGACAAGCGTATGAAAATTCCTAAACGGGTACTGTAGATCCTTATGGCTGGAACTCAGATGGCGCTACAGCCATACAACATAAACGCCCCCACCATTGTCCGGACATGTTTCTTATTCAGCTTAAAGCTTCCGGCATTCTTCCAACGTTCCACCGCAATTGTCGATATAGCGCAGGGAGACGTTGCACTCCTTTCTTAGCTTTTTACCCTAAGTAATGTATGTTAGACGACTAGAAAACACATCTAACATCTACACATCTAACAGGCGACACGTAATGTTCAAGTACTTGCGTAACGATCGAACTTTCAATTGACCTTGCAGATCGAGCTTGTTTTTAACTGTTTGCATAAAAACGAGCTTAGTTGATTTGGTTTAAAAATGCATACGTTCGTTAATAAAAAATACATACGCACATAACTAAAGATAAACACCTGCCAGAAACATTTCGTGCTACGCGCTCGCCTGTTCAAACTTTATACATAACACAATTTTTAAGTCTTTTACTATATAATGGGTAAAGGGCCAGCATTATTAAACAAATTAACAAAAAGAAGTAAGAGTCTCAGGTCGGAAGAGCCCCAATCCCAGCACTGATCTGCCGTCACAAACCTTATCTTTTCCCCATGGATCTATGTTTCTGAAAGAACGCATTTTTAATTATAATCGGAACTTCAATATGATACCGCCTCTGCTAAATACAGAATATTTTCCTGCCTTTTCTAAGCAAAGAGAAAAAAGCATGCCAAAGTGCAATGGGAAACTAATGAAACCTTCGCCGATGTTGCTAGTTGCTAGTTTAAAAGATATATTATCTAATTCATTTCAGACAGAAATGCGGTCAGTGTTTTTTTGGGGGAAGATTTATGTTTGGTACGGTCGGCCTTAAACTTACTTTCACAGCCCTATATAAGAGCATTTTAAATGCGTGTTTCAGCGATCTTAGAAATTCTATCTGCAACTGTGGTAAATTGATCGACTTCAAATACATTTAAGGAGATCTTTGTCAAAATTAATTTAAGGCGTTTTTTACACTTTTCGCTTTAGGTGGACAGCGCGGGTGAAAGTTTTAATGAGCGAAAGTTTCTTTTCGGTTTGATGATTCTTACCTCAAGACTAATCTGGCCGTAAACCGTTTATTCTAACTTTTGGTGCTTTTTTCGATTGACTTTAAACATATTTTTTAAAATACTACTACTGTAAATACTACAGCTAGCACGGGCAGATTTAAATTTTACACGGGCGGGAACTGGTCTCAAAATGTCTTTCTAAACTTTTATTATTTTATTACGCTTTTAATTTTTCAATATGTATTAAATACATTGGGTGACACTGGCTTTGTCGGCCTTTTATTAATAAATAAATAAATTACAAGTTAAACAATATACTAATATCCAAATATACATTTCACAATGCAAATTCAGGTTATTTTAGATACATTTATGTTATGTACCACCCACAAACGCGTGCCACACTATTCTAAATTTAATGTTCAAGGGAATTATAAATTATTATCAAATATTCATATTATGTGCGAGAGCCCACTTATTAAATCTTGAAATCGACATCGAGATATTGACAAAAAAAAAGTAATTGATATGGTGTAGGAGTACATTTATTTCAAACTTCAAGTCTCTTTCCAAGATCGCCGCGTTTATACAGACGCAGACTGCTAAGTCGACACAGCTCGTCGGTTCTGATTTTGAATGGCTACAGTAATGTTGAAAAATATTAAGATACCAATTTTGCTTTCTCCATGCGTATTCGCTTAAAGGGTTCAAGGTTAAAGGTTTGTTTAAATAATTTTTAAAACAAATCAATGCAACGGTATAGAATATTCCAATACATCGAGGCAACGAGACTTTCTTTGGCGATTTGAAAAAATATATGTTCATTACGGATTTCGGATTTCATGTCGAAAACTGAGAGAGAGCTCTAGTCCGACAAGAAATCTCTTGAACCTTACCTAGGCATCTGCGCGTGCCATTTCCAATAGATTCAGGGTATATTTATAAAAGAGCATAGATTACATTGTCTTATGTTCCTAATAAATACGCATTTAGTGACTGTGCTTATGTTGTTACCCATACATTCGCGTCAACATCAACTAGAAAGAGCATCTACGGCTTCGAAAATTATATATAAGTATATATATCTAGCAGGCAGTACATATTTCTGAACTTTTTAAATAAAAGGAAAATCTTATCAAAATCGGACCACTACATCACATAGCTGTCAAAGGCCGAAAAATAGGTTCTTATGTGAAAAACTTTTTTTATCAAGATATTTATATATTTATTTATTAGTTTTAATATGCTGCTTATATAAGTTAACTGCCACAATATTAATAAAACAAACCCTTGCTGACTCCCTTTTTTTAAAAAGTAATTTTGGAACTAAAACTTAAATCATATCTAATCGTATACAAGTCCAAAAATTGGCAACTGCGGCAATGTAACGTCAGCGTCCGTGGGTGGCGTAATCGCAAAATTCTATTGAATTTTTATCTTGGCTTCAGTCCCGAAATTATTGCAGACGCTTGGTCATCAATTTTGGCAATGTTTCAACGGAAGTCATTGTTTGAGCCAACAAACTCTGGGCTAACTTATAAGTAAATCTTATCAAGATCGCACTACTATATTATATACTAGCGGGTATAACCCGGCCTTGCCCGTAGCACGTATAAAATAAATGTTTTCAAATAGCTGTGAAAATGATTTTAAAACAAATCGGACAGTAAAGAAACAACTTTCATACAACCGTTTTCCGCCAATTTACCACTGTTGCGGGTGGAATTTGCTAAATCGCTGAAATACGTATTCAAAAAGTTTTTATGTAGAACTTTAAAATTAAGTTTGGAGCAAATCGGACAAAACTTAAAACTTTACCCAAAAAATCTTTGATTCGCAATTCTACCGAAGGAGTTTGGATTCTGCGAAAAGTGTGAAACACGTCTCAAATGATTTTTCATATAGATTTTTGGAAATAAATTTGAGCGCGAAACGCCACCCACCAAATCTTTGACCCCCATTTCCACCAAGAAGGAATACATGTTTGGAAAAGTGTGAAGCACCCCTCAAATGAATTTGAACAAATATCTTTGAAATTGAGTTTAAGGCCGATCGGATGGTAAACAAAAAAGTTTCATACAAACGTTTTTCGCGATTTTTCCACACTTGCGGGTGGAATTTCCCGAAACCCCGTCTTAACATGCACCTTCATCACATAAGGTAACTACAGGTAACTACTCTTACGGTATACGTTGATCACCAATCAGTCAGTCAGTCAGGACAAAAAGTTTTATATATAGAGAAAAAGTAAGTTGTTGTGCTGCAAAACTTCCAGATATTTTCACAGCATTAATAAAACCATATTCACATTACTGGAAAAAGTATCTGCAAGGGCTTTTAATCTTTGGCGTACCGAAAATAACTTTTTTTCTTGTTGAGACTCTTCTTTGAAAAATATTGCTGAGAGAAGTACTTCTGCCTAAGTTCTACTCGGTCCTTCTACAAATTTGCTTCGTCATCCCTTAGCCCCACACAGCGAAGTGCTTTCTTTAAAAGCATCAGTGTTTATTTTCCGACTTTATGCCAAGGCTTTAATATATGCTCAAAGAACAGTATATGACGGAAAGATAACTAGACAGTTGACACTAATTTGGATGCTGATGAAGAATCTATATACTTTAAAAGGTCAGAGATGTTTGCTACATTCACATCATCCAAATCATTATACCCGATTAAACTTAACTTGGAATTAACCATTAATGCATTACTGGAGTATTTTCTGCAGCCTTCAACACATAGTTGAAAAAAGGTTTCAGCCCTTTTTCTCAAGTATGTGGATGTGAATGCTTATGCACACATTATATAGTTATTTTACATGCTTTTTATACATTGCTTTGGCAAATTCTCTTTACGTCAGAAAATTCTTTGAAAAGCCCAAGTTAGCAGCTTACCTGCTCTTAGCTATAGGCTAAATAATTATGTATGTATGTATTGTGTAACTATTCGAGGATAGCATTGTTAATATGAGGGACCCTCGAGATATATAAATAAACTGGCTGAAGATTAGTTTAAATGGTTGGCGTCGCGCCTTTGTCCTCATTTCGTGTGCCCTGCAAGCGAAAAAGGGGCTTCAACTTGTTTGCGAGTAACGTCAGTTGCATGGAGGGTGTGTGTCTCTATGGGTGTAGTAAGTGTGTGTATGTACATATGTGTGTGTGCATGTGTAAGTCGTGAGTGCCAAACTATGAGATACCATATAAACGAGTTTATTACTCAATAGAGCCGAAGCCCCTGTAGAAGAAATAGTAATAATGCTTTGTCTGATGTGCATAACTAAGAGATACCCTGTATCCAGTACCAAGCTGCCGTTCAGTTCCTTTGAGTGGCAAGTAAACACACAAAAACACCTGTACACACGCCGCATGCTGCGCAAATTATTATGAAGCATAAATTTAAAATATCTCTAGAGACAAGGGTAGATCAGCAAGGGGTTGTCTGTTTCAGCCTGTTATATACAAATGTACAATTTTCTTATACCCTTTAAAGCTACTTTAAATAGGTGCAATAATATTAAAAAATAAGAATTTTCAAGTAGGGTGTAACCAACTGCGTAATATTCATTCTCGTTATAATTGCTTAAGAGAGAAAACCCGCCAAATTCATTGATGAGTTTTTCCATTTTCCAACCGCTCAGTGGGCGTTCTTAATCGATTTTTAGAGAAGTTCATCGGCCGTCTTAAAATAAAATTTGGCTATTCCAGCTCTAAAACTGTGAACATACACATCGATTTTCCTATTCCATTGCCCCACTAAGGTCACTTGCTCTTAATAGTTTCTCTGAAGCGGGAAAACATATATTCTAAGAGTAAATTGCCAACCTCAATCGTGCTGGAAGAATGTAGGATAATGCATAAACCAAATATACTCCATGATGACGCTGTCTGGGGGATGACGACAAATAGATGAAGATAAAAAAGTAAGATTTTTATATCCGGAAGTACCCAGCTAGGAGATACCCTCAACCTACTTTAACAAAAAACACAAGCAGGTCCGCCGGCAATTATCCATCCTCGCCTCATGCAACTTATAGCTTTTAACTCATAACTAAAATAAAAGCAGGAGCACACAGCACAGCCAGAGTACAAAGGAAATTTCATTTATATTTTTAGAATTCGAAAGGGAACACACATGTATACATATATGACCTAACCTTTCCTTTAGCAATTTCGGAGTTTCTTAACCGATATTGATCGCATTCCGCAGTAGGTCTAATTATGCCATAGACTATTCATATATTCAAAATAAACAATACAATTCAAATTGTGGACTAAAATTATTTTGTGTTCCAATTGGATTTGTATTTATGATATTTTGGAAAGGGGGAAGATTCTAAGCAAATAAAATATACATAATCTGTGTATAAGAAAAACTAAATTTTAAATTTGGTGACTTTAGCAAGTCGGGATTTTGATATTGAATTTTATTGAGTGCATGGGAACGAGGCGAGTTATTAATTATTTAAATTTGAGCAGCGCTCAAAATTGAAAGACTCTAGCTATAATAAGATCTAAACTCATCCTTTCAATAAATGCGCAGCAAGAATGTATATTCTGTATGAGGTCGGAACGGATTCCTCCTGCCTGTTACATATATTTGAACAAAACCACTATACCCCTTTTAACTATTTTCAATGGGCTCAGGATATATAGGGCCAAGTAGTGAGCACATAATGAATAAAGAAGATAGGATAGAAGAAAGAAGGGGAGGCGTGGGTCCGCATGATAACCCTACTAATATTAGAGCTACCATGTCGGGAGTGACCTAGGACTAGGAGAAACCGTGTACCCCGTGTTAAGCTACCTTTATAAACATTGTAGCTTTCTTCTCTAGATTAGATACTTAAAAGCACACATTCACACATGGACTTCCCTACACCCGATATATGAGAAATGCTTTAGAAAGATACAAGCTCTTGATTTTCTGATATGTGCGTTTTTTACAATGTTCGGAATACGCAATGTTATCGAAGGTGTGAAATAATTTGGATCAGTGTATGGTATGTGCGAGTCTCTTTGGCGTCTTATAAGCTCCTAGATATGCTCAGAAGACATCATTTCGATGTTAATATTAATCGACTTCATGGAAACGGGACCAGTTATCGATGACTTAAAATAAACTCGTGCTGCGCGGAGGAGCATCTTCGTTCAACATTTCGAGCTCTTCTGGTATCCGAGATCGAAACGTTCATACTTACGGACAGAGAGTTAGACGGACGGGCAGACAAATGGACATGGCGAGATCGACTCGGTTGTTGATGCTGAGCAAGAAAATATGTACTTTATGGGGTCTTTTTGCCTCTACATACCTTCGCACAAGGAATCGATAAAAATCGATTTAAAAATCATATTTTTTTGTAATTAATTTTGGCAATTTGCTTTCCACTTGCTCGATTGTGTGTAGACATATGTAAATGTGTTTTTGAGCAAATATGTATAAAAGAAGATTCGAATGGTTTATTCAGGATATATTCTGCTCGGTCTGCCTGTATATCCCGCCCAAATTACAAAATTAAGCATTTTAGCTTGTAATAATATCATTTTTGGAAGCACAGCCGTTGGCTTTTGTATTTAAATACATTCGAAAGCTATATTTAAGCCTCGCAAATAATTAACAATAACCATCTCAGTTATTCGTGAATGTGTTTTTTGTGTGTTAAGCGGCTCCAATGTATGTTACGGCAATTTGGCGCTACTTACAGGGTATGTCATAGTTTACTCTGACTTGCAGCCTTGTGAAAAGACATAAAAAGAAAACTTTTGGGTAAAGTTGAGCTGCTTAGATATCACGGTCATCAATAAGGAAATCCGTACAAAGAAATAAATGTACTTAAATATGAAATGACTTGTATATACCTTTTCTTGCAGTTATCGTAACATGGGCTGCGTCTTTGAATCAGCGAGAGAGCAGCCCAAGCAAAGAACAACAAAACAAACGCAAAATCAATGCTCTCGCATAACATCAACATTAGTAAGGAACATAGAAATCAAGGATAACTATCAACAAAGTCATAAAACTCAAACAGCAACAGCAACAGCAACCGCCAAACATCTAAAAGCAGCAGCTCAAGTGCTTTTAGCGGAACAACAGCAACAACAACAACAGTTTTTTCAAGTGGCGCATGATAACAAGGTCGCGTTGGCGACACGCGAAACAATTCTAACAATCAATATTCAGGCATCGAGGCAGCCAAGCACTTTGCAAATAAATTGCTCCAACTGCTACAGCCGCAGCACAAAGATTACAAAAAATGAGCAGCGACGCTACCGACGCATTCATTGGTGCCAGCATCAGGCGGCCAGAGGATGTGGCAGCTGCACTAACAGAAGTAAGGACATTGCTACAGGAGCGACTTTGGCTGGCATTTCCAGCCAAGCGCAAGCTGACCTAGCGAGCCCCCTAGACGAGAAAGGCAAGGATCGGCAGGAACAGCATGAGAAGGATGGGCGTAGAGATGTAGAACAGCCATTAGCTTATCTTACGTGGCGTCTAGGCAATGTCGCCAGCGCTGTCGTACCCATCACCATGTCAGCCGCAATTCTATCCACTCTGAGCACCACCTTAGCAGCCGGATATCAGTATCTGGCGCAGCATTATAAGCAATATAGCCAATCGTTCAGTTTCTATGCGGCCTCCAGTGTTGTACTGATGCTCTGCTATCTGACGACCACATCCATGGCCGCTGCAACACAGTCGGAGACGGTTGCCATGGACAAGCATCCCATGTAAGTTCTATTCCTATGAGCTCTGGAGAACTTTCTATACATTTGTCTCCCATTCACAATACTATACACACTGTAATTTTTATTTTTACAAGTCTGAAATCTGAATTGAATATATGTATATAGTAATTATTATATGTAACACCATGTAACCACTTTACTCGAAAATTTTCTATTTACACTCTTTTAATATTCTTTCATTCACAGCATCGATTGGTCAAAGTAAGTTTTGCACCCACACCAAAACATACTTAACAAAATACGAAAATGTAAACGCAATATATGAAAACAATATTTCATATTCTGACTTTGTATTTAAATATTTTATTAACTCTTTAATTTGTATACCGTGTACCCATTGACAATTTGTATAAAAAAAATGTATTTTGGAGTTCTGCAAATGTATGAAAAAGGTAGGAGGCATTTCTCACCAAATAAAGTTTATATATTATCAGGAAGCTTCCACGGGTGAGTTTGTTTGGCTGTCTTTATGTAAAAGCGCATTGATCTCAGAGACTGTCCGATTCAAATTGGAATATATATAGACAGTTCAATAGCATGCGCTCTTTCCCCCGATATAGACGATACACAATCGTCGATATCTACTGCAGAGCTTATAAATATTTAATTATTTAAATTACAAAGCTTAAAATGTGTAGTGAAGGATTCACCGACTCACCAATTAGCAACTACAATATGTTTCTACAATTTTTATTAAATTCTTTCGATATTTGAATAACATATAGAGAGTAGTCGAAGTTCTAGCAGAAATCACAGCAGTAGCCTTAAAACAAACAGTTTTGTTATCTTAATAATCCTGAATTAATATTTAAATGCGAAATGCATCGTCGAGCTGCCGATAAGTTATCGGTATCGATAACTCCATCCTCCATTGTGATTAAGTCTTGAGTAATTAGATTAGGTTGATGATAACTATATTTTAGTATAAAAGCCGCATGCAGGAGCTCAGTGAAAACGGCCACATTCTTGTCGTTAACTTTAGGGATTAGCGGTCAGCTATTTCATCCTGTCCTCACCATGGTGGTTCTAAAGAATGTGTTTTTGAATAAGCCCTTGACATGACATACAGACACACACATAAGTATTGGCACAGCAATCATGTTCTACTTTGCAACCATTTTGCGTCCGTTTTTGGTTACCAACATCCATGCAAATTAATTTTCCTGTATAAGCCAGTTAATTTCCTACAAAAATCAGTTAAAGTTTTGTAACAAAAACATAACAGTAATTTTTTTAAATTATTTATGACATGACATATGTAAGAGCCAGCAGTCATTCATTTGTTTAAGGATGAATATGCTCTTGCTAGTGCGCAATTGATGTAATGTCTCCATACATTTTGCTAAAATCCTTTGGATAAACTCGTAAAACTCGTTTAGTAAACTGATATGCGTTCCATAAACCATTTCAGCCGTTGAAGTCGCAAGATTTTTTTTATATCATTTCCGCAGAACCAGCAGTTAATCGAAGGTGGCGATGGTGTACACATTAGTGCAGCTTTAAACGAACGATGTCATCTTTAAATCATTCCATTGGATGATTTACTGTATAACGGGTATTCCCCGGCCTTGCCAGTGGCAAGTTCTGTGCTTAACATTTTCGATATAACATTTGCACCCAGTTCCCGGCCCTAAAACATTTAATCTGTTGAGGAAAATATTTGAAGTCTATCGATTAATGAACTAAAAATCTGTTAATCTTGTTGTGAAAATATTGAATCCGAAAAAAAACTTTCGTTCATTTAACCTTTGACCCGCATATTCTAAGCATCCAAGATTGGTGGATTTCGCGAAAAACATATCAAATTAATTTTTACAAAGATCTCTGAAAATGATTTTGAAACCGAGCGGATCGTAAACAGAAAACTTGTATACCACCGAAATCGCCGAAACAAATTTCTAATATAGGTTTTGAAAGTAAGTTTACCGCCGAACGGACGATTCTTAAAACTTTTGCAAAAATATATATTTGTAGATTAATCTTAACGTGAAACATAATTTGACCCCATTTCCAAAAAATGTGAGACACCCGTCAAATAAAGTTGAACAAATTACTTTGAAAATTACTTTCGCCTTTTTTCAGCACTTGCGGTTGAAATTTCCCTAAGCCCCGCCTTCGCTTGCAATTTCATCACATAAGGTAACTTTAGTGAGAATTTCAGCTTCCGTGCTCTCAGTCTGTCAGTCATTAAGAACAAATTGTTTTGTATATGTATATGTCATATGTTATCCATCGCAGCTACATGTACTGTTTGTGGAATATTTCGAAATTAAATCTAGGAGACGAATCTGACATATCTCGCTGAGTGGTGCTTGGATCGCAGATGGATGACAAAAAAAATTACGACTAATAGTTAACAATGCTAAGGAATCGGCCAAGCTTACAGACTATGTCGGGAAAATTGAACTAGGCAGAGTACGGTTTGCAAATATATCTTTTGCTCGTTTGTGATTTGATTCATAATCAATGAAGTGTGATTGTCGTCCTTTGGAGTTGGTACAAAGGTATCCATTATTGTGCCATTGGAGTCGGCTTACGTTGTCGTTTCGATTAAATGTTTCTTCTTTAGATCGATTAACAAGTTATTGTTGGAGAGCAGATCAGCTCCAATTATACGTCAGCCATGATTAAAGCCCACCTCAATTTGTCAATTGATTTGCTGCAAAGAATTGTGTTTTTGAATTGCGTTCGAATATGTGGAAACTAGGCGCAACTGGAGGACTTGCTTTGTCATGCAACTTGCTGTTGTCATACAGCTGTCGCAGTTGAAGAGTGCAGCTGTGCGAATCAATCGGAACTATTGGAACTCTATTGCTCAACTCCATTGTCCGACTGATTTTTTCTAAATTTGAGGGGAGTTTGAGGTTGCGTTGGACTTTGAGTGAGCATTTTGTTTGATTTTAAGACGATGGTGTTTATTGACAGAGTCTATTAGCTTTACAGCTAATGGCTGACAGCTTACTTACAGTCGAATTGGTATCTGATGACTTTGGCAGCTGCTGCTGTGGGGACATATCACATTAGTGCTGGTTGCTTGCAATATTTTGTCGGCAACATTGGCAGATCGTTCTCCACGTTCTTCCAAGTGGACTGCAATGAAATCAAATTTATTGGCTTCAGCTTATACATTGCTGAGTCTGAACAATCTTTTGGGTTGGGAAAACCATATTGATCTATTAAATTTCGGTACGAACACATGCAGCAGATTAGAGTGTAAGCTCGACTGTTGTGAAATGAAAGCACTAATTTGCTGAATGTTTAGTTCACTATGACATTCAATGCAATATCGAACTCAGATGTTATAATGTTATCGTGTGATTCGTAAAATTGAAATTCGTCGATGATTTAGTTTGACTTCGGCTATGCAGAACGTAAATTCTGTGTCCACAATTCAAATCTTCACAAGTTAAAGAAAACTTCGAAAAGGGGACAAGGAGTTTGCAATACTAGAGTCGATAGCAACATCTGCTGATGATAGAACCAGGAGGTTCTGAAAATAGCTATACAGTCAACCTCCTCATTCATGGTTTTTCATACCTTGTTGGTCAATATTATTAAGCATCCAACATTCAGCTCGATTTCATCTGATTAACTCAATTATGTGCAAATAATGATATGAATATAACATATTATGTACACACACTTCATATTTGCGGAAATACCAAATACCAAACACAAGAGGACTTAATTTAAATAATTCAATATCGTTGAGGTGACAAATAAATGGTGACATTCATTATTGAAAAAATTTTAACATTATTAGTGTTGTAAACACCTGTCTTATATCTAACACCTAACAACTGCCGCGATTTTTGTATTCATATGGTTAAGCAATACAACAATTTGTTGTTGCAATTAGACTTTTTCTGACACAGCGCACATAGTTTCCAGAAAAACGATCAAAGAAACACTATTTGTGTATGAAAGATTATTAATTGTCAAGATGTGTTGAAACATTTTTACTTTCGGAGACGGTATTGGTCGTAGCTTGAATATTTTTGGGTGAATCATTGAAGTCAAACTTGGTGAATCTAGAATCTAAAAACTCTGGAAATCGAGATTGAAAACTCACTTCATAGCGTCGTGCGTGCTTACGAATAAGTCATATATACTCTACTAAGAGTAAGAGGAAGACTAACTCGGATTATCTCCGTTTACCACAATAAAAATAATCTTTATGCAGTTGGATATGGCTCGTGCTTTCTTTTTAAACATACATTTGCCCTACTTTATACTACAATTTTTAAATGGATACATCGGTTAAAATACAAAATGCATGAACTCATCTAACACCAACTATGCAAATATAAATCTAAAAGTTTGGGTCATTTCCAGTTCAAATTTTGTTGTTAAATCTAAATTTTATTTCGATACTAAAAAACCCAGTTATTATTAACAAAATTGTTATAGATATGAAAATATAATCTTTTGAAATCGTTTTTTTATGTGTTGCGATATGCTTATAACAGTATTAAATAAGTTTAAACAAACTTGTAGTTACGAAATAATGTTACCTCTTTACACACAGATTCGACGAGTCTAGTTCGGATAAGGAAATTTTAGATTTATTACTTGAGAAGAAACGCTACGATAAACGATTACTGCCGCCTGTAAATGGTAAGCAACTTTCAAAATGTACAATAATTAACCACAACCTAAACTTCTATTCTTAACTGAAGCTATATTATACATCAAAATTGAGGACCATGCATTGAGTAAACATTATTTCTGTACCAACTTATTAAGTTGTTGGTAAAATTTTCGGGCTAACAAAACGCGTTATTGTTTTCTAATAGCCACGTTGACTAAGGTATAGCTCGGCCACTATAAATATAATTTAATTTAATTGCCGGTTTAGTGAGGATGCAGACAGAAGAGGATAATATAATAGACAATAAAATTAATGCTTGCATATACAAATGTGGCTACGATATTGAAATGAATGAAGAAATATCAATCATATAAAATTGCTTAAGCTGGCGCAAAAGGCAGACTCGCTAGGCTTAGTCTTTTTTACCATTGTATTCAAAAGGTTAATCATCAGGAAACGAGAGTCACACATTTTCGAATATAATGATTTTGCTTACTTCACTGTCATAATTTTATTAGACGTAAGAACGTGAAACTCGTGTAAAAAAAAATTAAGCTACACATTACTTTACTCAGAGGAAAAGAGTAGTCTTGAATTTTGGATTGGTGACCCCAGGACTGTAACTCCAAGGCAGTGACCCTTAAACTGTGACTTTAAGAAATATCTGCATTAACTAAGAGTTAAGAGCTCAATAATCAAGAAATTCCGTTTCGACTAATTTAAGCTGAATTTTAACTACATGCAATATTGAAAGTCAATAATTCAAATATAAATAGAACAGAGCAATTTTGAGCTAGAACTATGTTAAGCTATTTAGAGAGACTTTTTTGCAGAGTATATGAGTGATTATTTCTAGGCCTGCTTGTAAAAAAAATCTCTATTAAATTTTACAGATGAAGACTTTTGCTGTGGCTTACAATCGCCCGACATGGCCACAAATCAAAATGCGCGGAGACCACATAATCGCGGTTGGTGAAATGTCCTAAACAAATCACGAGAACTAGCAAATATTTTAGAGAAGCGTCTTATAGATTTTTTTTAGTTAATTTAGCACTGTATTGGTTCTCTTATTTCTTCTTAATTTTGATTTGTAGCATTTATTACAAATATATTTATCTTTGAGTTATATATGTTGCCCCTGGTGCTAGCACTTTTATAAATACATATACCTTAATTAAATTTTTAACTAACTTCAACTACTTTTATAGGCACCCTGACGGTTAATGTTAATGTATTGCTTTTAAGCTTAGCATCACCCGACGAGAGCAGTTTGGTAAGAAATAGTGTTACGTACATATTTTTTTTTAATTACTCAAGTCGTATTTTATTGCAGAAATATGAAGTGGAATTTCTGTTGAACCAGCAGTGGAGCGATCCACGCTTGCAATATGGCAATAAGTCCCACTACGATTTCTTAAATGCTTTGCATCATCATGATAGTATCTGGACGCCCGACACATATTTCATTATGCATGGCGATTTCAAGGATCCCATCATACCAATGCATTTCGCTTTAAGAATATTTCGAAACGGGACCATTACGTACGCAATGAGGTGTGTTACACTAATTTGAATATAAATGAGAATTATTTACACTTTACTAATATAGATTATAACCCGGCGTTTCCCGGCCCATTCATACCCTAAGCCCATTGAAAAGGCTTAAAAAGGTATCATGGTTTATTCCAAATGTATGTAACAGGGAGAAGGAAGCATCACGGAATGTTTTTCAAGTGTTTATATTCTTGGTCATAATTAAAAGCCGAGTCGATTTATTCGCTCCGATTGTATAAACGCGTCGATCTGTCATAATAACAAAAGCTGGAGAAGTTAAAGTTGGATTTGAGCACAGGTGCTCCCATGTATCGCACAGTACGTGTTTAATTTCTATGCAAACAAAAAAAGTTGATATCAAAACCTTTTTTGAAAGTTTTAAAAGATAGAGTTACCAAATGGGTAGATCAATTTTTTGGACACCGCCTCCACATCCGCAAAATCTAATAAATAACAAATAATTCCATTTGGAACCAACAACATTTTTGTGGTTGTTGACTTTTTGCGAAATTGCGAGTATTCGATGCCACAATAAGAACTACAGAAGAAAATGTAATCAAGATTTATTTGCAATTAAAGATAACAAGGGAGTAATAGGTCCTTTCATAGCAAAAGTAGATCAGTTTTGTTTCAAATTTAATCGGAGTTCATAGTACTACATCATATATGTTAATACCTCTTGTGTTTTAATTTTCCCGGCATTGCTTGATCCCTGCATATAGACACAACTCTAACCAGGTGACATTAGTTAATTGACGGTTCACATAAGATGTCTTTATCGCAGGTTAACCCAGATTCTAGCTCAAAAGACGAATCCGTTGAATTTAATTTTGAGTTGGATTCCCTCAAAATTGTTGTTCACTGAACACTGAAGACAGCCAGCGAATCATATCAGTTGTTTAGGTAAGACTGATTTTTATGAGCTCAACGATGTTATTTTGCAAGTTGACTGTTTCCAACTATGCATCTCTGCAAGCGGATATCGCCAAAAAATTTCGCCAAAGATGTCTATTTTAGTATTTTCAATTTGAATGAAATGAGAGTGCGGATTCCAATGTGAGCATTGCCGACCAATTCGCAGACTTTTTCGAACTACATAATACTTCCCACGATTTTTTGAATTGCCTGCGATATGAAAGGAATGGTTTGTCATCCCTCTTCATAAAAAGTAAAAAACAATAGATATGCTTCTAAATTGTCTGATTTTCCTAAAGATAATTCTAACAACTCAACTGCTGCATTAATGCAGCTCAATTGTTTCAGTTTTCCCACACTGGTTTTCGAAACATAGATCAGCAATCACTAATGTTTTAAGAAAATAATGCAGACTGAGATCGTTTATACTTAATAGAAAGTCTTTTGATTCAGTTAATAACTTACTTTACCAATTTTTCCTTCCCATATTCTTAATGTATCCAGGTAACTTGTGAGGTTTCCAATCAGTTATTAAGCTACTCTTTACTTTTTAATCATTGACTTATGTAAGACTGAGGCTTCCTGATGTTGATGCCTTTAAGTCCTAGTCAAATCTAATACATGTCAACTGTTGTAAATGCAAAGTAATGGCCTTCTACAGAAGCTCTGCCCAAAAACTTTCCTTAAAACTAGACTTCATACGTCTTGAACGAGTCCCATTTTACGGTCGTGGTAAACAAGGTCAGGACAGTTTTTAGTTTTTTCAAACGAAGAATCACGGAATTTGACAATTCGTATACAACAAAGACCCTATCTTTGAGTTTGGCTCATATGCCTAGTCCCCACAACATTCAATGTATGAGACCGGGATTGAATATGTATAGAAAGAATGCTTATTAAATTCGTATTGCATTAAAAAGGTTTGCTGCCATATTCCAGTAGACTCCTGGTGCTCAAGCTTGACTTTTTGAATATTCGCATAATTATTCTTGGAGTATTATTTCTTCACAAATGAATCATCGGCGAAATCGAGTCCTTTGGGCTGATAAATTACACGTAGCTATAAATGTTTATCTCTTGTGCAACTATCAATCATTTAAAGTCATAGATAACTTGACCCGTTTCCAAGCAATCGATACAAAATCTAATTGATACCCAGTTTTTCAGCAAATCTCTTAAGAGCTGGAACCATCGTAACCACAAATCAACTATGTATATTTCTGGATACTATTTTGATGCTTAATGAGGACATCGTGTAAAATCAAATTAATAGAAATTTGCAAGAAATATAAATAAAATTGAAATTGGGATTGTACAGATGCTATGCGGTGTTTTTGTTTAATGCAGTTCTTTTCCTGTAGATGTGGCAATTAGTTCGTTCGGTTGCTGGAAGCACGACCCAGCAGGTGGATTTTTATTTGTCTTCCTAATTTTTAATAATTCTAATTAGATCTCTTTACTTATTTAATAGTTGGAAAGAATATATTTGGAGTAAGGTTTGAACAAGCAACAGCTATATTTAGTGCGAAAATATCTTGGCTGTGTCATTTAAGCCATGAAACATGATACATTTTCTATGTAATATATCCGTTAAATTCGCTATAATGGGTTATCGTAAGGTCTGACCACGAAATATGAAGACTTTACAGAACAAAATATTTGGCGGCCACGTTTTTTTTTAATTAAATTCAAAGTAAAGATTTAAGCACAGGTTAAATTTATGGATGATCACAGATTCTTTTAAAATTTTGTTTGCTTTTGCAAATATCAATATTTTATACTTGTTATAAAAGTCTAGTTTTTCTGGGAGTACTAAATTAAGAATTCTAATGACACTGTTAGGACTAGGCTATGTGATTTATTCCATATAGCCCTTAAATTCCTCCTGCAATACTTGCATCCTCCTCCCATATGGCAGATATTAGGTGACTTTAAAAAACAATGTGCCGCAGAGAGATTTTTTAAAAATCTTTTTTAATTTTTCGCCTGCGTCGCTTTATTTACCTACAAAATGGACACCTTCGCTTATATCATAAATATCATAGTGATTCTCTTCATTTTGGGTCGTAAAGGCCACTGAGAAAATATTGTGAATGCGATCCGTTTGAGTTTGTGAGGATACCGCAAAACCGAAAAACTATAACATTACACAAAGTGCACAGATACATTTTCTGAGTATAGTAGGTATAACAAAAGACAGACAATCAAATATTTTAGGATAAAAGTATATGCAAAAACAAACCATATCAGCCATATATTTTGTATGTGCATAGTTTATTCAATTCTGTACTCTGTTATGTATGACTTAAATCTACTGCAAAAATCCTAATATTTTTATTTTACTTGTATATTTTACAGACGGCATTTGATATTGTCTTGTCAGGGAAGTCTACATATATTCCCATTCGATGATCCAAAATGCTCCTTCTCAATGGAAAGCAGTAAGTATGAGTATTGTTCATTAGCTTCTTATTCGCTAATGGCGAATTTCTACAACAAAAATTCACAAAATATACTTAAGTGAATATAAAAACAAGCAAGAGGTTCTTGTCATGAGCTCCCGACTAGAGAATACCCTGAACCCTCTTCTTCCAACACCAAATGCAGTTCCCGCTACGCGCTCGTTTGCTTTAGTAGTAATAAAGGGTTTGAACTCGTAACTGACCGCATTACTTGCTGCCGCCTCTACGCAACAGCCACACCAGCCAAAAAAAAAAAATTGCTTCCTCAGCAGGTTTGAACTCGTAACTAACCGCTCTACCTTCCGCAGCCTCTACTCAAGAGCCACACCAGTAATTGAGTTTTACTGAGGAAAAACCCAATTAAATAGCAGCACAGAAAACAATACAATCGCAATTGCAATGCTGTTGATAGAATTCAAAGCAGGCACGCATGAATGCGTGTGTGTATATGTATACAGCAATTCTTGGAATTTGCGCTTTGCAGGCCAAAACACATTTTTTTTCTAGTTTCTTAACCGATCTTGATGAAAGTTTTAGTAGTATAAAATATTCGTGTATTCTTAAAATGACAATTGCATATAAATTGTGGCTAAAATTGCTGGCCAATACTAGTTGGATAATTAACTTCATTTTTAGTTTTTAAGTGGTAGCGGGGAGGTGGCGATAGCTGTAAAATGAAAGAGACTTGATATATACATATATACTATTCTAGAAGCTACATGTCAAGTTTGGTGACTCTAGCTCTTATTAGTTACCAAAATTGCTCACAAAACAGGATTTCGATATCGATTTATATATTACTTGCAAACAGGGCGAGTTATAGAATATCGGAAACAAACTCGATCTGCGCGGGGACTAGGAGGACCTACAGCTAAAATTTCAAGTCTCTAGCTCTTACAGGTTCTGAGATCCTTGCGTTCGTACATACGGACAGACGGACAGACAGACGGACATGGCTAAATCGACTCGGCTGTTGATGCTGATCACGAATATATATACTTTATGGGGTCGGAGATGCTTCCTTCTGCCTGTTACATACATTTGCACAAATACATATTACCCTTTTTACACATTTTAAATGGGTGCAAGGTATAAAAATATACCGTCAGGAGAAATTCTTATTGAAACCTAGAAAAAAGCTTTAAAAACTAAATTTTTTCAACTTTTGTAGAGTATGGGACAGGTATGTAACAAGTTATATTCCAGCAAGCTATTCCCATAACTGGTGGTCGTTTGTGAATTCACATAGTTATCCAAAGATTTTATTTAGAAAGAGTTCGAGGATAGATCACTGGTTGCTTAGCGTAATCTTTTGTGAACGTAGCTAGAAGAAGGGGCTATAGGTTACGGTAAGCCAATAAAGAACATATAATTGAAGACAACCTAAAAGAAAAGAAAAATCTCTATCAGTCGAAAACATCGAGGAATGTCCTACGGTTGGTCAACGATGAAAGATTAAGATGAAGCCTGGCGTGCGATGGCGAACGAAAATTCGGGTCCCAGTTCAAACCTCGTAAAGCAAAAGGTAATTCTCCTGGCTATGTGTATACTGCTACCTTCTACCAACTTTACCCGCGAAGTTAGTGTACAGTTTTAGGAGGCAAAGCGAAGTCGTCATTGCAGGTGACTCACTCACATGCCTGGTCTTAGGAGCAGGAAATCAAGCCCTCTGAGAGATGTTTGCATTTTTGGACAACAGGACATCCAGCATTCGTTTGGCTTATTGCTGGTATAACATTTTTCAGCCAGTCTTTTTTAAAAGATAAGAGATAAAGAGATATCGTATACACTTTGGAGGCAAAATTGTTTCCTCTCAGGCGCCTGAAAATGAAATATAAACATCGTTGCCTCCATGGACCCACATGATGAAATATTCTTTCTTAGTCTATTAACATCGCTCCACATATATTGCACGATATCAATTTTTGTGATTTACCCCGTCCCCACACTTTAAATATAGGTAAATCGATTTCAAATATACTTATCGGAAGTTTAATCAGAAAATTTAAAATTTGGACGCTCTAATTATTATAAATAAATATTATTATCTAACTACATAATCTATGTATGTATGTATATAAAATACAAACATATATGTCAGGGGATATGTTATTGATTGGCAAAGACATCTGCAGTGGCGCAGCGAATAGATTACGGCGCTGTGCAAAGTCTGTGAAGTGAAATGGTCTAAAGGTCAGAAAACGAAATCGCCGACTTTTCTTCCGATCAAAGTTTAGGCCCTTTTTACTCATAATCGGAGAACTCGAATGTTTTGCCATTAAATGTTTCTCGTAAACTTTCAAGCTGTTGCCGTCTGCCCAATTCTTTCCAGAATGCTGTCAAGATATTCCCTTCGGGTTCTGGCCAGCAAACGTCTCAGCCGGTTGGACGTGCTGACCATGTCCGCCTTGACGGACATGACGCCTTTTGTACGCAAGGGTGCGTGACGAAGTTACCGAAGCTGTATTCTGGCTGCTTCTGTGATTTCTCCTGAGAGGTAGTCCATATAGCTCTCACGTGCGCTACAGGCAAGTTCGGTAGACTTTCAGGTGGACCCATTTAGGAATCTCCTCCTACTCAATCAATAACGTAAAGTGATTCAAGTTCAGGTCCAGCAAGATTTTTATCATGTTACCTTTCCAGTGGTTATTTTCCTCTGCTGCACTCACAGTAGTTTACGCAATGCAATTGCCACAAGACAGCAATTTTCGACCTAGCTGGTTATGCGCGCCAGGTAGAAGATACACATTAAAACTCAAAATTTTACTGAGATCTCCACATCGTAACACATTCAACAGTGAATTGTACTAGTTCCACCCTAACAATACACTACACTTATGACAAACATCGTAGTTGACATAACAAAAAAAAAATTTTAATTATAATTAAACTCTCTCATTATTACTTTATTAATAACTTTATTGGTTTAAAATTTTATATTTTCCTTGTGAATAAAAACAAATTTTCTAAACTTATATAAAAATTACTCCTGGATTTGAACTGGCCACCTCTCGCTTAATCCGACGTGTGCAAATGTGTTTCTTAGATTTTTTTCATTCATGTTTATATCCAAGTAAAGGGTCTTACTAATTTTGTCATGAAATGTGTAACGCATATCTTCGACCGCAATATGTATTTATATGTATTCTTGATTAGTATCAACAGCCGAGCTTACATAACCGGTTTCGTCTGTCTATTTCTATGCAAACTTGCCTCTGAGATTAAAAGCTATTAACTTTCCGTACAACTGGCCAAGGGGCGCGTCCGTCTAACGTACGACATTAAGTACATAAACGAATACAAGCTAAGACTATAATATAATATAATCATCACATAGCACCCAGAACGGTTCAAGCAACGCATAGTTAGTTGAACAAAAATTAAGCGATAAAGGTATAATAACGTGTTAGTCTAGAAGGAACTGGGAAGTTTAATTTGCTAGTCAACCCAAAAGAGTCGCATTCACCCGTAACCCTTGAATAAATATTTTACTATTTATTAAAGCAGTAAGTTTGAGCATCAGAAGTCTACTGGACTTATGACGGTAACCACACACGAGGATTCCAGTTTAAACCACGAAGGGCAAACAACAGGAATTTTTTTGTACAGATTCAATACTGTTCTGGTGAATACAATATTGTGGCGACCAGACACGTAAGGCATACTCTAGAATAGGTCGTACCAGAGATATAAAAAGGGTATTTGTCGTGTACGGAGAGTCAAACTCCTTTGACCATCGCTTAGTGAAACCCAAAACAATTGTGGCCTTATTGACCACGGTCGTAACATTAGAGTCGAATTGGAGTGTATGATCTAGAATGACAGCTTAATCATTGCCTCCATTACTAGCACTGTTAATACGCTGCACAGTATCCTGCCAAGGGTGTAAAAAAGCATTTGGAGAGGGCTTCTGTAGAAAGTCATTTCCTTGCATTTGGAAAAGCTTAGATTAAACAGGTTAACTTGACACACCAAGACTGAAAGGCAACATTTTCGGATATTAAAAGATTACATCAGGCCAAATCCTTTATGCAAGGCACAACTCTGCATCATCGGCATACATTAGTACTCAAGAGTGAGACAGTATCGAGGGTAGGTCATTTATGAAAAGAGTAAAGAAAAGATGGCCAAATAGATGTTTTACGTTTGGAGTTAGTTTATAGTTGGAAATATATTCTGTTTCACAATATATCTTTACCAAACTCAGCCTTTACGAGCTTCATCGCTCTCACATGTATACAAAGCCGTAAGATAAATGTCTTCATGGGTATATCATTAAGTTTAACTGTATCGTGCCACTGTTGGCCCTCTCTCTAGCACATGGCATTTTAAGTATTATATATTTAGTTTATGGGCTATTATTTTGAGTTCTTTGCTATATATAAATGGCAGACTTTTTTTAACAACATAAATTTAATAACTGTACTGGACCAATTGAAAATGGGTTAAAAGTGTATAATGCTTTTGTGCAAATGTATATAACAGGTAAGCAGCAAGACGAAAATCGCAGAAAACCAATATACTTTTCACTCTGTGAACAGGGTACAAAGAGATCGGTCAATTGACACAGAAGTTGATTAAAAATTAATTTTTAGATTTTATTTTTTTGTTATCGGTCGATTCGATCTAGCCGTGTACGTCTGTCTGTCCGTCTGTCCGTATATATGAACCTGTCGATCTCTGAACCTTTAAGAGCTACAGACTTGAAATTTTGAACGTAGAGGTCCTCCTAGTGCCCGCGCAGTAAGAGTTTGTTTCCGATAATCGATAACTTGCCCCGATTACAAGCAATGCTTAGAATTAATATTGAAATCCTGTTTGAGCAAATCTCTTAGGTTTTAAGATTGTTTGTGTAATTCTTCCCGATGTCAATAATGAAAAAAAGTTAATTTTAGCAAGTAGCTTACCTTATCGTATACACTAGGTTTAGATATGAACGAGAAAGAAGGGCTGTCTTCGGCACGCCGAAGATTTAATACCCTTGCAGACCCAAACTTTTGATAATGCTCATAGTGATTTGCCCGTATCTATGAAGCACAGGGAAAATAGTTAGAGCCGAGTATGGTTAAGATACCTTGAAAAACAAAAAAGTTTTCCATACAACAACTTAATTTTCGACCGATCGTTCCTATGACAGCTATATGATATAGTTGTCCGATGGAAATAAGATTTTTCATAAATGGAGGGAGCATAGTATAACTAATAAATACCGAGGTTGGTCCATACAACAACATAATTTTCGACCGATCGTTCCTATGGCAGATATATGATATAGTGGTCCGATGTTGATAGGATTTTGATATATATATGAAGAGTATAGTAAAACTAATAAATGCCGAGTTTGGTCAAGATACCTCGAAAAACAGAAACATTTTTATACAACTTAATTTTCGACCGATCGTTCCTATGGCAGCTATATGATATAGTGGTCCGATCCATATTTTCACATATGTACTGCGTGCAATAGAAAGCGGCACTTCTGAAAAGTTTCATAAAGAAAGCTTTAATACTGAGAAACTAGTTCGCATAGAAACAGACAGACGGACAGACGGAAATGGCTATATCGACTCGGCTGTTGATACTAATCATAGGCAACTGTAATATACTCTATGGGGTCGGAGATGTCTTCTTCTATGCGTTACACATTTCACGACAAAATTATAATACCCTCTGCAAGGGTATCAAAATGTATTCATAAATTTGTATGTAGCCATAATTTTTCTTATTCTATCCTTGTTTTCTGCTCGTTCTGACTTACAGTTTCCTATGAGGAAGCACAAATCAAATATGTCTGGAAGAATGATGAAGACACATTACGCAAGAGCCCTTCGTTGACCACACTGAACGCATATTTAATTAAAAATCAAACAACGCCCTGTGATCAAAATAGTTGGAGAGGTAAGTTCAGCTATTACCATCCAATTATTTAAATCCTTGATCTTGTGTGTTTGTAACTATATGATTTTATGTGTTTGTCTTTAGGCGCATCTTTTATTAATATCCAATGTTCTCGTATTTGTCTATATTTTACTTCTAAGTTAAAGTGGCTAAATCAAAATTTGCAGCAAAAATTTTAGTTTCTTAGATCCTTATCAATTTTGAGTGCCGTTTTTTGTGCGATTACGATTATTTCGACTTGTAGTCTGGAGCTTAGTTATTGCCTTCTTTTTTTAAGAAATTATATATATACATATTACCAAAAAGTACATTAATTGTTTTGCATATCTAATGGTCTAATCTTTGTCTACCCCTAACCAAAAACAAAAATATATAAATGTTACAACAAATACTTGGTCAACTCCTACTCTCTACAAAAACAAAAACAACATCAATCTTATTGCTAAACTCAAATCAATAGGGAACTACAGCTGCCTTAGGGTCGATTTAATCTTTACCAGAGATCGGGCGTTCTATTTTACCACCGTTTTTATACCTGGCATTATTTTGGTGACGTCATCTTTTATAACATTCTGGCTAGAATGGAATGCCGTGCCCGCTAGATCAATGATAGGTAACGAAAACCAAATAAAACACCAGTAAAAAATAATACCAAACAAACTAAGCAACCAACAATATATCTTTAATTATTAAAATTTACCCTTGCTAATTTCACTGAAAAGTATTAAACAAATTTAAACCATTTTTGTATACGCCATTAAGATTTGACTTATTTCGCCTTTTTAGCGATTGACTTACAACAATTTGTACTGCCCTCTATATACGCAATTTATAATCCTTATTTCATTTTGATTTAGTTGAAAATTACATTCTACACATTCTGCCATATTGAGTAGTTTGCATTTGAAGACACATCCCTATATAAAAAATAATCAAACAAAAACCAACCTAATTTGCAGCCTTTTATTTCAATGCGTTACCACTGCCCAAAAGAAAAGTATGCGACACTACCCCTTAAGAATGTATTGTTTTATGAAAGGTTTGGTGCATGGGTTCCGTTTTCAATATTTTACGCTTAACCTTCCTAGCAACTAGTCCCAAGTCAAAACCAATACCGAAGATCAGAAACTCAATCATTCCATTTTTATTTGTATTTAATTTTTTTTTATTATTATTATTTTTGTGGAAGTACCGCTCAGAAAAAGTAAAATTTTCCAATTTAAGAAAGGATAGGTAAGATATATTCTTCTGTGTGAATCTATGTGTACTATTACTGTCTGTAACTCTGTCTCTGTATTGTCTAAGAAATATATTGCGTTAACAGACGTTTACAGTTGTGTTTTAAATAATTTTTAATTTGTGGCCCAAATTCAACGATTTTGGCATTGTACTTTAAGGTAATTACAGTTGCCTACAAGTCGAAATGACATTTACCCGTGATCGTGCGTATTATTTTACAACCGTTTTTATACCTGGCATTATATTGGTCACCTCGTCGTTTATCACATTTTGGCTAGAATGGAATGCAGTACCAGCCCGGGTTATGATCGGTACGTAAACCAAAATCCAAATTTTTACTGCAAAAACCACAAATCCATTGGAAGTTAAACCAAAGTCTATGAGAATTTCATATGCAATCAATTAAAAATCGTGAACTTTCAATTACTAATGTGACGACATTTTAGACGCTGTTATGCTAGTGAAATACTAGCGGATAATAATCAACATTGAACTTGTTCCGTACCCAACAGTAAATAAAAACAGCTTGCAATTTATTCAGAGTATTGACTTATAGTATAATATTTCGGCGCTTGGCGCCTTAATTTTGATTAAGTAACTATTTTCTTTTCTCTTCTACCATACAATATATCCAATCCCTGCACTGTTTAGTCTTTTTATTCATCAGTACTATCCACAATTTGCTTTGCACTGCATGCTAATTTTTCTTTTAATCTATTATTATAACATATAAGTTTCTGCGAATATCAGCCAAGAAAGTCCGACAGAGTTCTTTATTAGATAAAGCTAAAAGCAGAGGCAACTGTTAATTTTGCGGATAAAATATTCTAATGCAATTACACCTGACCGTTCCTATAGTGTTGTAATTGTGAAAATGTACATCTTCTACAATTTTTGAGATACATCAAATTAAGAAGTCAGATGATTATTTTAATTATCCGCAAATACAAGTCGAGTGATCTAGAGTGTCTGAGGTGCCCGACTAAGAGATACCCTAAATCTTCCTCTACAAACACCAGAAACAGTTCGCTTTACGCGCTCCCTTGTACACACTTTCACCAAACAAGTAAAAACGCTGGAGTCGAGTGTGCCCGACTAAAAAAACCCTTGTACCTATTAGCCAATATAATATTTGGCTTATGGTGCTACTAGATGCATTCATGTTCGGTCAATTGTGCAACGTATGCAACGGCAGCGCTGCGTTTTGTCCTATTGGAGTGTCTGTCCCTTTTATAATTTATTTTAATACCCTTAACGAGCTCATATTTGCTTCAAGCGACCAAATAAAACTCAAATATTTTCAATGCAATCTTGTTATCGTTCATTCAACGTAGACACTTGTCCTAGCAAATGTCAACATATTGTTTACATTGATATACTCTTCAAGCAAACACAAATCAGAGTCTTGAAACCTTGCGCAGGTCCGTCTTTCTGTTGCAGGCAAAATGTCGTACCGGTCGGATCGCACCACTACATCATATAGCTGCCATAGGAACGATCAGTAGAAAATTAAGTTCTTGTAAGAAAAACTTTTTTCGTGTTTTTTGGACCAATCTTAACAACTTTTAGATTCACCAAGCTCCTTACTTATATGCAAACTCTGATCAAAATGGCACTACTACCTTGTAAGGGTGTTTAGAAATAATCGGTCGAAAACTTAGTTTTTGTATGGAAAAATATTCTGTTCTCAAATATATCTTCACCAAACTCAAACTTTACGAGCTTCACCGCTCTCACATATTTGCAAAGCCGTAAGGTAAATGTATTCATGGCTATATCATTAAATTTAATTGTATCGTGCTGCTGTTTACATTATTGCATATGTTGGCCCGGTCTCTAGCACATGGCATTTTAAGTATTATATATTTAGTTTATGGGCTATTCTTATGAATTCTTTTTTATAGGAGTATAATCTAGAAAGTTGATGACAACTTCGAAAGACTTTTTTTACAATATAAATTTAATAACTGTACTGAACCAATTAAAAATGGGTAAAAAGTGTATAATGCTTTTGTGCAAATGTATATAACAGGTAAGCAGCAAGACGAAAATCGCA